AGAAAAAGAGATCAAATTCTAGACAAATGGAGCTGCCATGAGCTGGATTCCAGCTCAAATTAAAAATTTAGTCAACAATTCTGACTTCACTGCCTAAGATTTTTACTCATATTTCGAGTGGATGGTACCAACACAGAATTTGCATTTGTTAGTATTTGGAATTGAACCCTTTCCTAGATTTAAGTAGTGGAATTCCAGGCAGGAAAAAAACCAGTTTTCAGATCATGGATGATGCTTCAGTGTGAAACAATGGAAGCTAACCTGGCCCAGAGTATGGAAAAGACAACTTGCCTTAAGGGAGGGTGTCCTGGGAGAGTTTGATAAAACAAAAAGGCAAATGGAAAGTTTGGTGTGAAGAAAACAAGGTTTTTCTTTCTTGTAGGCCTATTTCATGTTTATGGTTCCATCAATCAGCATGCGGATTATATTATCCTCTCCCACTTTCTTCTGCAACCATGTGAAACTTTTCAGAGCCCACTCACATTGTGTGGGTTATTTTTTTTTTTTAATTTTTAGCTTTGAAAAGTTAAAGCTTTGAACTTTAACTTTTTGGAAACAATTGGTTCAGTCCTCTGTTACAGTAATTATGGATTGGCCTATGGTCCCAAAGTCCACATGCTGGGATCCATCTCTGTTTTTCCTTTTTTTTTTCTTCTAGTTTAAAATCTCAATTGGCAAAGAGGTGTTAGGATTATTAAATAATGTTGAAGTTTTTAACACTGGTTTTACTAGCATTTGATGGGGAAAGATGGAGCAAGAGAAATGCCCATGTTTCCATTAATGTTCTGATAACATATTCCCATTGAAAATGGGCAAGAATTAATGAGTTTCATGACAGAAATTTAAGTTATAGAAGTTGGTGAGTAACAACGAGCTTGATACAAGCTGCTGAAGTGAGATGCAAGGCATCAGAAAAATCATGTCAGTTTCTGTCCCAAAAATGAAAACATGAGTGGTGATACTGTCAAAAAGCTCAATTCCTACCACACCCTTCATTACAACTTTTAACCTCACCCTCTCCCAGTGGTTGATGCAGAATTTATAGGGGAGGAAATCGGGATTTACAGTAGAGAAATTGGGAGTTGGATGACAGAAGGAAACAGGGGAAATAATCTGTAATGAGGGAGGGGATGCCCATCTTAGTGCGTAGTGATGGGAAATTGAAAAGAGGACCTCCCATCTATAATTAGGCTAAGTATTTCCATCTGCTGCTGATCACAACCTTTAATCCCTCCGCTTCCCTCTTTTTAAACCCTTTTAAGGCTTTAAACTAAACCCACCCTCCCAACTGCCTTAACCAATAAACCAACCGCTCACCTCTTCCTCCTATCCTCCCTCCCCTCTTCCTCCCCACCCCAAAGCCAAACCTAAAAAGAGTGAAAGAGCCCACTTTTACCCAAACTCTGCAAGCAAAAAATAAACGAAAAACAAACAAAAATCCCCGCTTTTGCAGCTGCTCCTTCAATCACCACCCCTTTCAAAAAACCCAAAACGACCCAGAATAGAAAAACAGGAGAAGAATATCCTTTCTTTGTCTTGTGTTGTTTTCAAGTGTTGCAAAGTTCGAATTTTGGGAAATAAAAGTTGTCATCTTTCTAC